GTGTTTTTCTGCACCTTGAAGTTTGAGATGTGCTACTCTGAAGCAGTTCTTAACATTGACGGCACCTTAGAATTATCTGGAAAGCTGTGAAAACATCCCCACCCCATCAATTAAGACAGAAACTCTGGGGGTGGGGCCCAGACAATTTGTTGTTGTAAAAGCTTCCCAGGTGATTCTAGCACACAGCCTGGGCTGAGACCCAGTCCTCTAAAGAAGACAGTAGTGCTGGAGCTCATCAGGATGAAGGTTTTCAGCCATGGATAAATTCATAAGACCTTAAAAGAAGGGAGTAGAAAAATGATGCCTTGCATTTATGTGGGATTTTACATTTTCCAGAATGCTTTCACAACATTACCTTGTATGGCTCTCACAGTAACTGTAAAGTAGAGAGGGCATACATAGCTATAGGCATAAATAGTTGTACCCATTTTAGGGATAAAGAAACTGAGGCTCAGAGAGACTGACTTGCTCAAAGTCACATGGACAGTCATAGAGCTGGTGGTAAAATTATACCTTTCTCAGGTACCTTTACCTGTTCAACTCTGAAAGTCTGTACATACAAACCTCAGGGAGAGGCAAGCAGGTCTCTTTCCACTGTGGGGCGGTGCATCCCTCAGTCAAGGCTTTCCACGTGTCTGTGGTCAGATTAACGGTAAAGAAGTGTTGTCTCACTTTAAATTTGGGGAAACCGAGGCACGGTGGTGGCACAGAATGATAGCAAGAGTCGACTAAGGAAGGCTGCAGGATCCCTGGCTCTCACTTCACCCCCCTCCCCATAATGTTCACAGGATGTGGTTTGATAAGGAGGTTAGGAGTGATGGTTGCTATGGTAACCACATCCTTATCAATGCCCAACCACGTGAGACTTGCTTGGTGGCCAGTCACCCCGCCCCCCTGTAAGAGGGGCATAGGAAAAGAAGACCATTCGTCCACGGTTGAGGTCCTCCCTCGAAGGATGTCGGCCAACCCGTCCTCTACCCCGGTCCCCTGGGAGATGCACGGGAGCAGCGAAGGCCTTTTCCCGCAATTGTGGGGAACGCCCTTCTGCGCCCGCAGCCCCTGCCTGTCTGTCTGTCTGTCTCTGCTCCTCCCCTCTGCCTTCCCTGTTTGCCCGGCTGCCTCAGCCCAGCAGACCATCAAATGCTCTTGGGGAACAGGCCCATTTCTAAAACCTGGTTGCAGCTCCCCAAGCACCAAGCACAGCGTGGAACCCTTGTTCAGTTCAAAAACTAAAACCTTGTTGTGTGGACCCACATTTCTGTCCCTTCGTTGGGGCACAGAGGGAGGTGGTGGTGGAATTCCTAGCATGGCCAGAGGGGATTGTCCAGGTTCTGGGAATCTCCTGCTGCTCAAAATGAGGGGCTTCTTTCTACAGCACCACGTTCCAGCTCCTCCCCCCCCCGCCCCTAATGTCAATCCTCCCTCTCTCTTCCCTGTCCCCAGTGGCTGGGGCTTCTCAGAGAGGCTCTTCTTGCCCATCCTGTCCTGGATCTGTCTTTGGTCTCATCATTGTTCCTTGACTGCACCTGACGCTCCCTGCTTGCCTCCTGTCTGTCCCTGTCCCACCCCCACCCATTAGAACATGAGCCCTGTGACCTTGTCCAGCTTGGCTTTGCACCACCGGTGCCTGGCACACAGCCACACAAAATAGGTGCTCAGTGAACACTGAGCGAATGGATGAATGAATGAATGAAGCCTGGATCAGGAATCAGGACACTTCAGTCCTGCCTCACTGTGCGATCCTGAGCAAGGTGCTTATTGTCTCTGTGCCTCAGCTTCTTCTGTCACCAGGAAAGGTTTCTTCTCTGCCCTGTCATGATCCTGTGTGTCTGAAAGGATTGTGACCACCTGGAAGGCAGGGGCTACCTCCTGTACGTTGTCAGGGCAACCCACGCAGGCCATACACATGGAGAGGCCTCAAATTATCTGCGGAAGGAGAGAAAGAGGGCAAACGTCCTTTGAAAAATAACAGAAAGACGTTCTGTCTGTAAGGGAATTATTGACGTTCAGAAGTTTCCTGCTGGGTGAGGCACTGGCTGATTGAGTTTCTTGAGGTTGTTAAACCATCTTCAAACTTTTCTAGAACAAGATGGAGTAAAAATAAATACTTATTCTTTGTAAGTCCCAGAAAAACCCCAAAGAAAAGGTGGCTCCTGCGGGTCTGTGCTTTTCTACTTTTCTTCTTTCGGTGCAGATTGCTCGGCAGGGCCGGGCTCAACGCTGGCCTGGCCTGCTTTGACCTCCCTCTCTGTCCCCAGATCTTCCCAGCCTGAAGCAAGCAGCAAGGTTATGGTGCTTCCAGCCTAGGCGGCATCTGAAACACCAGCCATGATGGTAATGACCGCTGGCGTTCTTGAGGCTTGCTATAGACCAACGCTTTATGTGTATTACAATCCCATTTAATCTTCATGGCAGCCATATGAGAAAGGCACTATCATTATACCCATTTTATAGGTGAAGAAACTGAGGTTCAGGGAGGTGACATCCCATAGCCTGGGTATGATAGAAGGAAGAGAAGAAGCAGGTGTTGGTGCCTCAACAAGATGGGCCAGTAAGGCTGCCGACCCCCTAAACAGTAGGTGAAGCGGCTGGAGAAGAAAGGGCAGAGGGTTAAGGGCCCTGTGCAAAGCAGGGGCCCGGCAGATGGGTGGTGGTGAGGGGCACTGTTCAGAGCCGAGTGAAGGCTGCTCTTGGAAACCTATCATGCCACACTGTTGGGCGGATCCCTGAGAGTTTCTTTCAGCCGCCCCCTAATACACTCATGAAACGGACACGTGCTCACTCACATGTCTGCCCAGCTGGCTCGGGACCCAGCCCCTGTGGCCTCTGCTTCGTTGAATCACATGCATGCTCATGGTGCTGGCTGCAAGCCCCCCACCTCCTACCCCAGCCTCAGGCTTCTGGAAGCTACAGATGGACCCAGAGCTGAGCTCAGCTCTCCACCTCTCCATCTGACTCTACAAAGTCTCTGAGGAGAAGGATGTGACTCTGCCTTCTCGGTCAGGAGGAAAATGCACCTAAGCAATGAGAAAATAGCCAGATCACTGCAGGGAACGACCAGGGAGAGAAAAATTACTCGTTCCTCCAACTCAGAGCATCATTAACTAGAAGGCTGCCTTTCTGCCTAGAAAGCCTTTCTCCCACTCCTTGCTCCCTCCTTCCCCCACTCCATGGCCTCAGTGGTGCCATTGGGCACCGCATGCTCCTGAAATTCCAACTCCCCCAAGAAACTTTACAGAACATCCCAGAAGAAAGATGACCACCCCATCCTAGGATAAAGGGGATCTCAAGTCTTGCTCTCCCGCCATTACAATCACATCTTTTCCCTACAGACCAAAATACGTAACTTATCTCATGTGAGTCTCTCTATACAGTATTTATTGTGGTATCTCCACTAGAGGGTGCCTTTAAGGTTATTTATTTGAAATTTAAATTCTCAGGACACACTAGGAGGAGAGGCTGGGAAGAACCTCCCACCCCCACCCGCAGAGGCAAGTGTTAATGCTGCTTTTTATCTTCTTTGTTAAGTTTGTAATTCCACTTGCCCTGCCACCCCACTTCCTGTTCAGGTTGAATCTCCTCTATGGGAGTCTTTCTTAACTGCGTTAGATCAGATTTGGAAATTGACTTTAGGCCAGTGGTTTCCAAACTTTGCTGCGTAAGGAAATTGCCTGGGGAACTTTAAACGAAAATCATGATGTTTGGTTTATACCCCAATCAAGTACGTCAGGATGTCTGGAGATGGGAGCCAGACATCCATAGTTTTTAAAGATCCCTAGGAGAGTCCAGTCTGCAGCAAAGCTGGGAAGCAAGGCCTTAGCCCTGTCTGATTTTCCACATGCAAATGCCTCCTCCCTATTGCAGCACAGACCGGTGACCTTGGCTGTGGACTCAGCTCAGCCTTGGTCACTAGGCCATCCAGGCTTAAGGCGAGAATCTAAAGGACCTTTACTACTCATGTGATCTTCTGGCAAGCCAGGCTATGACCGTGAGACCTGGTTCTGGTCATTGCAGTTTATCCTCAGCTCCATTCCCATCTTATGCATACGTTCTGGTAATTGAGTACAAACAATAATGACATTTAGGGTGTGCCCATAATGGATGTGAGACAGGCTTACATACAAAATCCCATTTAATTATAATAACCCCTTTTGCAGATGAGATGGATTAAATAACCACAAACTGGCTGACTTAACACAACAGAAATTTATACTCTTACAATTCTGGAGGCTAGAAGTACAAAATGAAGGTGTCAGCAGGGTTGGTTCCTGCTAGAGGCTCTGAGGTTTTGTGTCTCTCCCCACATTTCTAGTGGTTGCCAGAAATCCCAGGCGTTCCTTGGTTTGTAGACACATCACTCCAATCTCTGACTCCGTCTTTACATAACCGTCTACCCTGTGTCTGAGTGTCTTCACATGGCCTTTGTAGAAGGATGCTGGTCATTGGATTTAGGGTCCACCCTAATCCAGCGTGACCTCATCCCAACTAATTACATCTGCAAAGACACTATTTCCAAATAAGGTCACGTTCTGAGGTTCCAGGTGGACATAGATTCTGGGGGAGCACTCTTCAACACAGTATACCTTCCAAACCCCAGGGACTCAAGTTCTGACTGGGACCTGCCACCTGCTCACAAACCTTGATGCTGACAACCTGTCTCCTGTCAGACCTCTGCAATTGTGCTCGCCTGGATGGAAGGGACAGACGCTGCACCTCCCAGCTTCTGATCCCCTCTGCCACTCTGCCACGTGCTAGTTCCTCCCAGTGTTCTCTAACTGCCAAACCTACATCCCAAGAACACGCTGTCACTAACCTTGGATCTCTAGGTGCAGATGCCCTGAGGCAGGACCCACATCCCCAATGCTGTTGCCCTACACACCTGCTGCAGCCAGCGGGGAGAATTTCTCCATGAAGCCCTCAACTTTTCCACTCTACCCAACCCCCTGTTAGTCTTACTGTTTAGCTCTGAGGGTTTTTTTTTTTTCTCTCTATCTTTACAGGAAATGGATATATTGAAGGTAAAGAGCTAGAAAACTTTTTTCAAGAGCTGGAGAAGGCAAGAAAAGGCTCTGGCATGGTAAGCCCAGTCCCCTCTCCCATTGTTTGGAATTTTCTGTCACCCTGATCTATGGCTTGGCGCTTTGTCTGTCCCAAGTTATGCATCCCATCAGTTATGCTGATGGGAATAAATCCATCAGCAGGTCTGATAGCTCTGGCCTTGATACCTAGAGTTTGTCTTTCATTTGTAAGGATAAAAAAAAATTAGACTACTCCTTAGGAGTATCTTATCTCAGTATCCTTGGGTGTCTGGAATTGAGGGATGTTCAAGAATCGGCATGAGGGGTTGACGAACCTCCCCAAACTGCAAAACTTTGTGTCTGTGTGTGTGTGTATAAATGTTGCTTTTTCCCAGAGACAGAGTCCACAGCTTCCCTGAGATGCTCAGAGGGTTTGTGACTCAGATTAGATGCCTAGAGGCTTCAAAGTTCCTTTATTCTAGACCAGAGTTTCTCAGCCTTGGCTTTGTTGACATTTGGAGCCAAAAGCTTCTTTGTGGTGGGGGCTGTCCCGTGCATTGCAGGAAAATTAGCAGCATCCCTGGGTAGACCCAAGATGCTAGTAGCACCCTTCTTCAAGCTGTGACAATCAGAAATGTCTCCAGACATTGCCAAATGTCCCCTGGGTGGGGTATGGGGGACAGAGTCTTCCTTGGAGAACCACTGTTCTAGACCAACAAAGGCTGGGATCCTCAGCAAGGACCTAGGGGGAAACTGAGGATTGCTCTGAACCATTATACTGGCTTGCCTCGCTTGTGGAGTGTCACCACTTTCTGAGCCTACCCAAAGTCACAGGCAGATCATGTCTCAGCCCCTTACTTGCAGGAATGTTGCTTCCCTTGGTGTCAACCTGGCACCCCTCAATTTGCTAAAGCCTTTTGGGGGAGGCGTTTAAATATTGAAAAGCTAAGGCCATTGGAGCTAGTCTGTTGTGATTCCTGTGTCTGGTTCAGGAATATCTGGACCCGCTCCCTCCCACTAGCTCCCTTGGGTCTTTTGGAGTGCTCTCTGCTCCCCTAGCTGCATGTCTGTTGGCCAATCACTGCTTATTAGTAACTTTGGGCAGTAGTTGGGGGATGAGGGAGAAGTCCACCTCTGAGCTCCCCGTTAGAAGCTGGGTGGAGCACCTCAGTGAGAACAGGGTCAAGGGATGGGCTTGAGAGGGCTGGAGGGGAATCATGGGTGGTCCGTCGCGGTTCCCCCGTCAAGCCTCACTACCGAGGTAATGGAGCCTGGATCACAGCATGGGCTTCAGCAATGATTCCGGGATCATGGGCTAGGCCAAGACTGTGGTTTTATGAAGTTCTTCAAATCTAAAATTCTTCCCTTAGTCATGCCCTTCCTCAGATGGCATCAGGGGGATTTTCAGTCTGTCGACAATGCCAACTGATATCACCCAGGACTGGTTCTTGGAGTAGCTGTTATATGGATAGAAAGGATATTGGTCTTAGGAGCAGTGACTGTGTGTTCAAATTCTGTCCATACTAACTGGGCGACCTTGGAGAAGTCACTTCATCTTGGACACCATTTGTCTGTAAGATGGAGAGGCTGCTGACCTCTTAGGGGCCACTGTAAACCTTAAGTAGGATGGCCACATTTGTGATAAACGTCTGGGATCATACTAGGAACCTTTGTACATACAGATAAATAAATATTGATAAATAAATATTGGCAGATTGAGACCAGTTCCAAAGGTAAAAAGCAATAGAAGGGATTCAGAAAAGACTCGTAGGATTTTTAGAATTTCCCTAGGCCTGATCCTAGGAAGCACACACCCCATCTGGAAGCCATCAGGTAAGTGAGGTAGAGCCATCAGCTGCCCAAGGTGGGTTCATCACTGATTGGGGATTAGGAAGAGCTCCCTATACAAATAATTAATGAGCTGCATCCCAAACTAAAGGAAGTTTGAGAACTTCAAAAGATCCTTATATTTAAGATAGGTAGCAATGGGCTAAAGGAACTTTTAAAGTTCATGGGCCGGCCCGGTGGCGCACTGCGCTAGTGCGCTGCTTGGGAAGCGCGGAGGCGCTCCCACCGAGGGTTCAGATCCCACATACAGACCGGTTCCCGCTCACTGGCTGAGCGAGGCGCGGGGGCAACACCAAGGGTTGCGATCCCGTTGCCGGTCCCGGTCCGGTACGGGGGCAACACTGAGGGTTGCGATCCGTTGCCGGACACGGAAAAAGACAAAAAAAAAAAAAAAAGTTCTTTGTCTTTCTAGGAATCTAAATAACTGAATGGACTATTTAAATTACCCCTCAGCTATATGATGACCTCCTCACTTTCTTCTTGGTGTAAAATTAGAGTGAAAAATATTGTGGAATTGCCAGTTAGTCTTTAAAGAAGAAAATGAGCAATCCACCTTGCTATGGTGGAGTACACAGAACCTATTGGGGGCACTGGATTTAAGCTGGGTTCTATTAAAGCTGCCTCAGCAAAATGTTGGAACCTCAGTTCTCACATCTGAGTGATGGGAATAAATCCAGACCGTGCGATAGAGTTGTGGCTTAATCCATCTCAAAGGCAGAGGGGAATGTTTAATTGCATGGTACAGAGCAGGCCCACCTGTGCTGTTTTCCTTTCAATATTATGCTACTGAGCCTTGAAGAAGAGAGAGCTTGATTTAGAGGGATGTTGAAAAAGAAAAGGATGCAACCCTGAGCTCTGCGTGCACTGGCTCAACCTGGTTCCATGCTCTTGTATCTGGGACACAAAATGATTCCCGACGCTGCTGCACTGAGGTCCTTGATCCTTTGTCCTTCCACAGATGTCGAAGAGTGACAACTTTGGGGAGAAGATGAAGGAGTTCATGCAGAAGTATGATAAGAACTCAGATGGGAAAATCGAGATGGCAGAGGTACGTCCTGTGGTGCTGTTTCAGAGCTATGTGGGAAGGGTCATTCATCCCCCGGGCCTCTCCCATGCACAAGCGTCCTTCTAGAGATCTAAATGAGGTGGTGGCCTTAAAGCTCCCCCACTTCCAGCATTTGGGCTGATCAAACAGAACTGGTGGGGCTTTTTCTGTGTATCACCCAAGGAAAGAGGAAACAACAAACAATGGCCTGAGACCAGGGTGGAGACCTTAATGTACTCAGAGTCTAACGGGTATTGTAAATGTGTGCTGAGCCCAGCTTAAGACAGTAGGGAGCGTTAGGACTGGTGAACAGGAGAGTTCATGCCCCACCTAAAGGCATCCAAAGGTAAAATTATTTTAAATTCATATATATAATTTATACATACATAATTTATGTAGGTAATTTACATATACAAACATATAATTTCTGCAGAACATGTAAATTATATGTACTTATGTATACATACATACATTCATATATGCACACACATATACACCCATGCATACACATATACATATGCATACCAAACATCTTAGCAATCAGTTTGCGACCCACACTCAAGGGATCAAGAATGATGACGGTGGCACATGAATGAGGGCACAGCTCCTCTGGGGTATGTTGGTTGTGACGCTGCCCCTCTGGTGCCTGAGGATGTGATTTATTCAGGGAGAACTCTCCAGAGAAGGGAAGATAGGGCAGCAGCAAAGGTCAGAGGAGGGAGCTAAGCAAGGGCCTGGTCTCAGCTGGAGCCGGGCCTTGGCCCGAGCTCATGGGCAGCTCTGAAGAGTGGGTTGTGTAACAGAGTTGGCCCCACCTTGAGGCATGTGGGTGTGGTGGCCTTTTGTACCCCCTTGTCAATCATTGGATGCAGGCTTCCCCCCTCCAGTTGGACCCTCCCCAGTGGGGCAGCTCCAGTTTGGCCAAGGGTAGTTGTCCTACAGGGGACAGCGATGAGATGTTACCACTGAGCCTTGGCAGCAGCTGAGGGACGGCATCCCAGCCTACTTACAGAGGTTCCGGGTGAAGCACTGAGACGGGCTACTATAGATGTCTGTGCTGCAAATCTCAGAAAATCCTGACTCCAGTGGGCTTGAGCCAGGGGTTGGCAGACTTCTTCTGTAAAAATACAGATGATGGTAAATGCTTTAGGGTTTGTGGGCCATTCGGTGTCTGTCACAACTCTTCTACTCTGCCATTGTAGCACAAAAACTGCCATAGACAATATGCAGATGGTACACGAGGGTACTTGCATTTTTTAAAAATGGAATTATCGGAGGTATTAACTTATATACAATAACCTGCACCCATTTAAAGTGTAAAATTCTGTGAGTTTAGATTTTAGGCCATAAAATCCCCAACACAATCGAGATACAGCATTTTTATCCCCCCTAAAATGTTCCTCTCGCCTGGCATAGGCCACCTCGCCCCAGCAACTGCCCATCTACTTAGATTAGTTTGCATTGTTTTAGAATTTTATGTACGTGGAACCATCTATTAAGTATTTTTGAGTCTAGGTGCTTGCATTTTAAAGTAGCACCACTTTCCCTCCCGCTGCTCATACACTAAGGGTTGGGGTGACCCAGGTGCACATCTCAGAACATCTTTCTTTCCCTTTGAAGGGCTACCAGCCCCTGTTCTCAAGGAAAGGAGCAAAATGGAGCAAAAGGTGGCTTCCCTACTGGCTGTTTTCTATCTTTCCTACAGGAAAGTCTGCTGTGCTGTCAGGTCCCTCCCTAATTGTGGTATCATTCTCTGTCTCCCCACAGCTGGCGCAGATCCTGCCAACAGAAGAGAACTTCCTTCTGTGCTTCAGGCAGCACGTGGGCTCCAGTGCTGAGTTCATGGAGGTGAGCTGAGTTGCTGCCATCTGTCTGCACTTTGGGACCTGCCTTCCTCCCGTGTTCAGAGCCAACCCACCCTAATGCCTGGGAATGGCCCCTGGGAGGCGCTAAGCCCCTTAGAGCTCTGCTACTCAAAGTGTGGTCCATGGACCAGCAGCATCAGTATCACCTGGGTGCTTATTAGAAAGGCAGACTCCCTGGCCCACTGAATCAGAATCCACAGTTTGACAAGATCCCCAGGTGATGTGTGTGCATGTTAATGTGTGGGGAATAAGATGAGAAGCAAGCTTGGGTTGAGCATGCTTGGGAAATGCCCCGTACATGCATCTCCCCTTTGGGGACTTGTTGTGGACATTTGCATGTAAAAGGCTCTGAGAAACTCTGCAGTAAAGAAACCTGTTTCACTCAGTTTGGCTCCAGGATGCCCCACCACTCAATTGCATTAGTGTCTCTTGAAGTCACAGTTCCAAGGAGCACACTTGGGAAGGATGGACTCATGTACCATTCTAGAGCTGATAAAGCCTAGTGAGAATTCCAGATTCCAGAATCTTCCAGGTTTGATCTTTGACTGGTCTGAGCATCAGTGTCTTCCCTTTAAAATGAGCATTGCTCTCTTTGCAATAGAAATTCCTTGAGACCCTCATATGAAATACGACATCCAAACTCAAGTGTCTTTTGAGTAATATTCAGCCTACACTGAATCATATGAAACCGTTGATACTTAAACATTTTTACCTTCAAAACTTGAAAATTCCATATGGTTCAACAAGATACATTACTGATCCTGATGTCCATCAAACTACTGATTATTTCTTGCTTCTTTTCTGGGGCTCTGCACCTGGTTGGTGTATGCGTCCCTCAGAATGAAACTCAACCCATGCCCATCACACAAACTGCCTGCTCTGAGAAATGACGACTGACCTTCAGCATGACTCTCATTGCCCTTCACCAGGTGAAGTCCATTTCCAGCCACCAGTAATGCCCTCTCCACGATTCACTGCCTAAAACGACTGAAGAGCCAGCCCACCAACCCACACGGCAGTGAGTTCCCCCCAGGGATAGGAAGCCGGTTAGAAAGAACCAACTCTCGGGGCAGAAGAGTCATTTTTTAATTGGCAGCTTGCCTACGCATCAGATACGGATTTAATTTTATGGTGCTTTCAAGGATTTTCTACAGTTTTTTCAAGATGGCAAGGATTCCATAAGCTAGTCTCTGACATTCTGGATTCTGGTTAGCCCTACTCTTGCCTGTCTGGGAGAAAAAGTCCTGCATATACTTCTAACTTGTCCAGGTGCTACTTTTGTGAGGGTACATTTTTCTGTCTGTAGAAAAGGGAGCATTAGGCCTTTCCTGATAGGGAGGCAGCCAAGGACTGGCCTCTGTTCCGCCTCTGGTCTGGAAACAGGCACGATGATAGTTTACAGGGGACAGAGATGCTCGAAGAGGAGCAAAGAGCACCTCCCTCTCTCTCTCAAGATCACTAGCACTTCCTCTGTGTGTGTGTAGTTGACATGATTCCATGTTCTCTTATATGCCCTTTTCCTTAGCCCCAGCATACCTTCAGAGCAAACACCCCTCCCCAAGTTTCCCGGGACCCCACCCTCCTGCAGTACCATCCCCTGCTGGACTTGACCTTTTGTTCCATTTTTATGAGCCAGAAATATAAAATAGTCCCTGAAAGGCTTGGGCTCTCAGGTAGCTCTCATCCCACTGCTCAGCATAACATTTTAACTTCTAATTTTAGTGGCACCTCAGGATTTCTTTAAGATTTCAAAAGCCCAGGTCTCTTGAACTCTTTTCCTTGAATGAAAAGAAAATGAGGACCCACTGATGAAGGGTGCAAAGTGCTGCAGGGGAAAGAAGTCAAGTGTGAGAGCCCAGGGCCAGCTCGAGGTGAGGGTGGGGTCAGGGAGGGAGGACCTGCTGGCACGGTCATGGTCACTCAGGGAGGGACTCTGAGAACAGAACAAAGTTCTGTGCAAGGACTGGGGATCCTTCAGGTTATCCCCCTTTCAGGCAACCTGGGGAATATCTGCCTCTTAGTCAAGACTTGACTTAGATCAACTAAATTCTAAAACACTAAATACATGCAGGTGGTTGGTGAAGTCATATTTGGAAACCTGCACATATATCTTAGTAGCTTTTCAAGGGTGGCTTACTGGGCACAGGAAGGAATATTTTGATAGAACCCAAGGCATTTTTTCCTCCAGAGAAAAGAACACTTCTAATCAAATCCCATCTACCCAAGCTGTCTGTAGTATGTCTACCCTTTTGCTGGAATTTGCTCATGTCTTATAATTAAAAAATATTAGGACCAAATTTCCTGAGTCCTGGCACTAATCTACCATGAAAATTATACAACTTTATTTGCGGGCATGAAAGAAAGACCCTAAAATATCCATAAATTCTAACATTCCTGATGATAAAAGGTGCACATAACATAGAGAGGTCGGGGAGACAGGAGATAAAATTAGGGAAAAGATTAATGCTTGCTGACTCTCAGAAAACCAAGTGTTGCTGGTATTTAGGTGTGCAGTTTGGAGCTGGGGGAGAAGGAAAGAAGTCCGGGAACAAAACTTAAAGGAAAAATCTAACAAGTAGGAGGCATCAAAATAGTTCAAAGATTTAGGGGAACAGTATTCTCTGTGCCTCTTTGCCACAGATACAGGCAGCACCCCCTGCCGCCTCCCCTCCTGTGGCGTTCCCTCATCTCCACCAGATGGCTCGGGTAAAAGGCTGGGGTTTCAGAGCAGTTCTATACAGGACCATATTTTCTCAGGGCTATTGCGTTAGTATATTTCGGTGTAACAAATTATGCCCCCACCCCCACCCCGGTTTAGCAGCCTAAAGCAACATTGATCTCACAGTTTCTATGGTCAGGTGTTTGGGAACAGCTTAGCTGGGTGGTTCTGGCTCAGAGTCTCTCATGAGATCATGGCCAAGACGGCAGCCTGGCTGCGTTCATTTGAAATCTTGACTGGGGCTGGAAGACACAACACTTCCAAGATGGCTCTCACACATGGCTGTTGGCAGGAAGGCTCTGCTGCTTACCACATGGGCCTTTCTGCGGGGCTGCTTGAGTATCCTGATGCCATTGCAGATGAGAGAGAGCAAGAAGGAAACTGCAATACCTTTTATGACCTAGGCTCAGAAGTCACACAGTGTCGTATCTGCCATATTGTACTCATTAGAAGTGTCCCACCACATACAGCCCACATTCAGAGCAGGAATTAGGTTCCTCCTTTGAAAGGGAGGTGAAGAATTTGTGAACATCTTAAAACCACAACAACTGTTTTTTCTTGTTTCTCCTGTGTAATGTCTGCTTCTGCTCAGAACAGAGAAGAAGAAGGTGGTCAGACTCATGTCATCTGCTCAAACTCTGCTTCTCCTTATCAGATAGATAAAGACCCCCAGAGGCTGTGGTCAGCAGGCCATGCTGTGGTCAGCAGGCCATGCCCTGGTTCCTCCAGTGATCCAGTACATGTACCATATAATTGGGACTCAGACTGGAGCCCAGAACCAGTGTGGGATGGGACCCCGGGAGGGATCAGGGTGGCCAAGTGGAGATCACATGCCTACCTCCAGAGATGGGATCAACCTCCCGTGCACCATACGGATTGAGAGTGGGAGATGGGTGATTTCCTTAAAAAGAAAAGGGGAGGGGGTGCCTGAAAAGCTGCCTGCACACCAATCCTGCTGTACTGTCAGATGTGGTGGCCACGTGCATTGTGAGGGAGGGTTGGAGGAGGGAGTACAGTGGCGAGTAACCATAGCCTGTTGCTTCCCACCCCAGAGGGCTCTTCCCCTTTCCCTCAGCCCCCACCTAGAGTAGGAAAAGCTTCTAGAGCAGTGAAAGGACACCCCGTATACCCATTGCAAAAATCAGATCCTCCAGATCCTTGTTCTAGCCCTGGTAGAAGCCACTTGGTTGGTACCTTGGAAACCATCAACTCTGATGACAACAAAATCCAAAAAAGGCCCTAGGCCTGCATCAAGTTAGAGTAGGGAGGCCTTGCCCAAGCAGTTTTCCTTCCTGTCTGTATGACCTTGACCAAGACGCTCTCCCTTATTTCTTCCCCGTGACATTGAAGGGACCGTGTGACCTTGACCAAGATACCTTCCCTTATTTCCTCCCCTGCGACATTGAAGGGACAGGGCCACCCCATCTCCATGTTCCTCTCCCACTCTAACTAAGAGTCTTGAATATCAAGACCCAGCCTGGCACATTAAAGGGAAATGGAAGGGCGGTGTGTAGATTTTGATATGTCTTTGCAAGTAGGCTGACATTCCCCTTGCAGGCTTGGCGGAAGTATGACACAGACAGAAGTGGCTACATCGAAGCCAACGAGCTCAAGGTAGGGTGGGCTTTGGGGGAGGGAAGGGGAAGGGTGTGGTGAATGAGACCAAGGCCAGAGTGGCAGTGGGCTTAGGGAACCTGGTGAGGGAGGGGACGCTGGATGAGGAGCAGGGCTGGCCCTGGATTGTTGGACTGATTCAGAGAAGCCGTGTGAAATCGGTGACATGAGCTGTAGGGCCACAGCAAATTCCACCCCCAAATTCCTCTAGCCCTGTGGACTGCAGAGCCAGTCTCTACCACCCACTCTGTGGGGCAAAGTCACATCCAGGGGCCTTCACAGTCACTCCACAAGTGTCAAGGGCTTGGGGAATTATGAGGAATATAAGCTGTACAACTGGTAGAGCTCAGCAAATGACACTGACTGACTGAATGAATGAACAAGTAAATCCATCAGTCGGGAGCTCTGAAGACGCCTTTTGTATTCCAGGGATTCCTCTCAGACCTGCTGAAGAAGGCGAACCGGCCATATGATGAAGCCAAGCTCCAGGAGTACACCCAAACCATAGTGAGTGCATGGGAGCGACCCTGTCCCCAGGGGTGCAGGGCTTCATCCCCAAGGAAGCTGGGATTCTGGTGTGCAGGGTCTTTTGTCTGCTGACTCCTCGGGCCCAAGTGGAATGACTCACGGTGGCAGCTGGCAAAAAGGGATGCCAGTCCATGTCCCCACACCCCGGCTATGAGGTCCCCACTGAGCTGACTCCTGGGCAGTGTGAGACTGGGAAGCATCCGTCTCCATGGCAACAGCTGCAGCTCCAGGAGAGGATGACGTTGGAGGGGTGGGTCTTTGGAGCTGGCCTGCTGGGACTTTGCTGCCCCGTCCCTGAGAAGTGGAGAGTGGAGCAATAACTGAGTCCCTGCTGTCTCCCCAGTGACTGATTTAGACCCTGTTGGTCCCTGGCCTCCAGGTGACCTCAGAAGAGGCATTAGCATGCTCCACCTGTCCTCCTACCTCTCCTCTCCAGTAGAGGTCAGGTCAGTGCCCACGTAAGAGAAGGTCAGAGCAACTAACCCAGGCACCTCTTTCTGCCCCCAACAGCTACGGATGTTTGACTTGAATGGGGATGGCAAGTTGGGCCTCTCAGAGATGTCCCGGTAAGCACCTGCACTCACCCCCAGCAACGCTTTTAGCATGACTTCTGCATGTCATTCCTGTGCTACTGTCCCCACCTCTGAGATCGGTCTGTGGGAAAGTGACAGGTTTGGGTGTCAAGGAGCTCAAGACAGAGCTAGCTAGAACTGTGAACGTCTGTCTCCCTTTTTTTGAACTTTCCACTAACTCCTGGTTACTGAGTGCTGAGATCATCTGTATAACTAGACATGCTGCCTCTGCACCCCCAGGCCGAGTTGTTCTTGCCTGGGCTCTTTCTCCTAATCTCTGCTCCACCATTTTCTTCGCAGACTCTTGCCTGTACAGGAAAACTTCCTGCTTAAGTTTCAGGTAAAGGCGCCGCAGTGCTTTCCTTGCCTTCCTCCCCTCCCCTCACCTCTCTGAGCTCCACCCTTCCACCCACTTACCCCAGTCCACCACGTGCACACACACACACGCACTCTCACACACACTTGCACACTTGCACACAGTCACACCTATGCACATACGCACACTGACGTGCACACAGTCACATACGTGCACGTGCACACACGCACACCCTCCTGCACACTCACACATGCATATGCACACTCACCTCACAATACGCTCACACTCACATGTGCACTCACACTGTCACACACGCACACACAGTCTCACACTCTCACACTCACGCTCACACACTCTTGACCACTCATGCACACACACTCAATATACACACTCAGGTGCACACTCACTCACTCACGTACACACAGTCTCACACACACACTCTCTAGGGCTTTTGCTTCTTTCTCTAAAAACCTCGGTCCCTACAGGGCATGAAGCTGACCTCAGAGGAGTTCAACGCCATCTTCACGTTTTACGACAAGGTGAGTGGGAGCGTGGCGTGGGATGGAAGAGCAGAAGGCCCGTCCCCTGGCAGCCCCGCCAGAATGGCTCAACTTCGTCCTTAGGGAGAGATGAGTATCTAGAGGGCCAGCTCGGGCCACATGGTTTCTTCCTGCAGCATCTTCCACTGTGTGAGAAGACAAATGTCATTCTCGATCCGTGGGCTCAGGAGCCCAAGGTTTTGGTCTCTTCAACGTGCAGCAGAGAACAGTTGGTGGAAGAGGCCTGTGTTCAGAGCAAGGCTGTGCTTATGTCATTGGGGGCCAAAGGGAGGAGACATTCAGTCCTGTGTGGTGCCAGGTCACAATGTTGCACTACAGCCGTCCTCCCTTAGCTGTCCCCTGCCTGTGTGACTCTAATGGTCTCCTTTATAACCAAAGGGTTGGAGGTAAACTTTAAATAGCCCGTGGACTCAGGGAATTCACTAAATGCTCCTTGAACCTCATTTATATTTTTAATGCAAATGCAAAAACCCACCATGAAAGGCTACCAGAAGTTTGCACTGTACTGCCCATCCCTGCGTTGACTGGTAAAGACACATTATTCTGTCATTACATGGTCTGAACACTTCCTGTGCACAGAGTAATGGGGAGGCTCGACCCTGAGAGCTCCCTGGAGTGGGCATGGGGAGAGGTCAGGGTAGCTGGGGCCCAGGATTTAGGGCTGTGGGCTCACTCTCTGCTCCTCACCAGGACGGAAGCGGCTACATTGATGAGAATGAGCTGGATGCCCTTTTGAAGGATCTGTATGAGAAAAACAAGAAGGTGAGCCACGGCCCAGAGGCCTGGGCGGCGTCCCCAGGGGAGGGGAGGCTTCTGCAGAAGAGGTGGAGAGAGAGGCCTGGGGCTGCGTTTTGCTCCCCTCTGGTCTGCCTTAGCAAGGCAATGGCAGGTGTTTGTTTATTTCTGGTTGATTGATGTTTTTTTTTCAATTTCATTGTGGTAAAATACATGTCACATAAAGTTCACCATCTTAACCATTTTTAAGTGTACAACTCAGTGGCATTAAATACATTCATAATGTCAGGCAACCATCCCCACCTTCCATTCCAGAACTCTTCGTCCTGCAGAACTGAAACTGTCCCAATTAACCAGTAACTCCCCATGCCCCCTGCCCCGTCTCCTGGCAACCGCCATTCCACTTTCTGTCTCTATAAATGTGACCACTGCAGGGTCCTTATGTAAAGGGGAATCATACAACCCTGTGTGGCTGGCTTATTTCACTTAGCATAATGTCCTTAGGTTCATCGTGTGTCGAATTTCCTTCCTTTTTCAAGCTGAGTAATATCGCATTGTGTGTGTGTCCCACATTTTGCTCATCCATTCATCTATGGACCCTTGTGTCACTTCCATCTGTCGGCTGTTGGGAATGTTGTTGCTGTGAGGCAATGGCAGCTTCTACATAGCCTGGCTTGTGGCAGTGTCAGCCAAATGCAACAAGAAAGATTTTCTACACAAAAAGGGACTTTGGAGGGCAGGGGCCAGTGCGAGGCAAGGGCTGGGAATAGATTAACTGCAGAGTCTGGAGCTGGGGAAGAGGCTGAAAGGAGCCGCAGAAGAATTGGTTCCTCCAGAAGGAAAGGCTGAGCAGACAACTCCATTGTTTTTCTGGTGTGGCATCTTGGACATACCTCAGGGGACCCTCAGTGAGCCCACCTTGGTGCACTGGATGGGGCATGGGGCCAGGTGGAACCGCAACCAGGAGACTAGGCTCTGCAGCTGTCTTCCTTCACCTCCTGGAAAATGGCTTTCACTGAGCAAATGGTTTTGCTGCTTTCTTTAATTAGACAATGAAAGCTCTATAATTCCTTGAGCTGTTTAACTGCCTTGGCTGCCAAGCAAGAGCTAAATTTAATGCTCAATTGCAGGAAAAAATTCACTGCAGCCTCTGAGTCTATCTGTCTCTCTTTCCAAGTGCTTTCTGCTCTCTATCTTTATCCTGAATATCATCCTTCATTTGTTTCATCCTGAATTTATTTTTTATGTTACCAGCAATTGCTTTTTGAAAGAGGCAAAAGATAAATGATCAGGAAGCAAATACGTCCTAGGAAGAAGGATGTACCCATCAGGTGTTTGAACTCAGCAAACTTTTTTCCTGGCAGAAAATTCCAGGAGAAAATTACGTATGCACCCTGATGTGTCCAAGGGATATTGGGCACTATAATGGAAAAAACCTTTAACTGTACTTGGATTAATGAGGCATAATTAGTCTTCAGAAGGCCCTGCCTAACACCTAAGGTTGATAAACTCGGAAGGCACACAATAAATCTCAGAGTGACCTCATCAACTGACGAGCTCTTTCTTGGTTAATACAAAGGACAATGCAGGCAGACCCATAGGTTGACTCCAGCGGAGGGAACAAAAGTAAAGATTCAGGGGGCCGGCCCGGTGGTGCACTGCTACAGTGCGCCGCTTGGGAAGCGCGGCAGCGCTCCCGCCGAGGGTTCGGATCACACATACAGACCGGCCGCTCACTGGCTGAGCAAGGTGCGGGAGCAACACCGAGGGTTGCGATCCCGTTGCTGGTCCCGGTCCGGTACGGGGGCAACACTGAGGGTTGCGATCTGTTGCCGGTCACGAAAAAAGACAAAGGTTGACTGCTTTCCCCAAACAATGCAGCCAGAAGTGAGAGAGGAGTTTAGTCGAGGTCTTTCTGACTCCAGAGCCCATGCCTTGTGTCCCTCTAAGCCACTTACACTGGGATGAGATGAGAGAGAGGTTCAGGTGGGTGTGTTTGGGAATGTGTAGTTGGGCTCGCTCGGTGGGGCCATCTACTGAGCCTGCTCTTGCCAAAAAAGTAAAGATTCAGGTGGCGGGGTTCAGAAGCAACTCTGAAAGTTAGAGAACCAGGATATTAATAAAGCTGTTTACCTGAAAGCCTTCCACCTGTACCAAGCTTCAGATTTGGCACCTGGGGATTGAGAGAATGAATCAGTAGAGAGAACTGCATGACTATAAATAGCAGCACCTGAGTTGGGAAGGGAAAGGCCGTTTTTGGTAAACCCACATAGCAGATGCACAACCCATTTTGATAGTGCCTGCATGGGCTGTGATAAGGTTTCTGAGCAGATTAACATTTGAAGCTCCTGGAGGAACAGGCTGATGGGATCAGACTTCAATATTTCTTAGCACCCCTAAGGCCATAGCAACACACTAAAGCCTTCCCCAGTTTCAAGCATAACTTCTAGACATAGAAAGTAAACAGCTCTCCGTCCGTGCTGCTAAGTCTCTCGCTGCCACACTCTCTGTGGGAGTTTTCTTAAGCTCGGGGCTGATAAATGGGCTCCCTTCCTTGGCTCCTAATTGAATGGCAGATAGGCCAGGCATACCCCAGTGTTATGAATTAGGTGACATTTCCAGGGGCTTCACAACTTGAGGGAAGATGCCCCCCAAAGCTAGAGATGCTTTCAAAATGCCCTGGGGCTGGGCCGTGGCACAGAACCAGAAATCAGTAATGTGATGGGATGTCCCAAAACAATGAAAAGAAAGACCTTTGAGCACTGAAGAAGAGGTGACCAAGGGCAGGTGAGCCAGAAAGATAATTCGATCGATTTCAAGGCTCAGGGAACTAAGGCTATTTATGACTATGAGTTGGTCCAACACTTTAGTGAGTATCTTGGTTTTTATATCTGTTTTCTCATTAGCAGAACAGAGATAATGACCCGTCAGCCTAGAAGGGGAAGTATTTTTTTAAAATGTATTTGCCAATGTTTTCAATATGAAAAAAAAAAGCAGAGGAGGAAACAGGAGAACGAAGGAGGGCAGAGAGAGAGAGGAGACGAAGGAAGGAAGGAAGGACAGCTGCAGAAGTGATTTTCCAGTGTTGATGATGAACTTGCTGTATTTCAGACCCACTTGCCTATTTGTGTCCAGAGCATTATTGTAAAACGTATATCCGACAGAAGGCATATCAGGTGTTGGTATTCTGTTTCATTCTGGCTTCCATCTTATATGAGACTGTGGGCACACGTTCACGGGCCACCTGTCTCAGCGGCCTCTGCAGACTTTGTAAGCCAGTGAACAGGAGTAGCCTGGTGAGCTTTGCTGCTGGAGGAGACAGGATTTAGAATTCCTGGTTTAAATGGGTGAGGCTTGGGGAAGTGTGGACCAGGAGACCTGGAGACAAGGCCAGGGAACTTTCGCGGCATTCTCTCCATCACCTGCAGGGACCTACATTTGAGTAAAGGGGGGCACAGTGAGGTAGAGGAATACACACAAGTTATGCATGGATGAGGACCGCAGCGCAGTAGCTACCATGTTTTGGCATGCTCGCTCTGTGCCAGGTGCTGGGCTAGCTCTTGCTGACGTTTGCTTCCCCATCGAGCCATCATAGCACCTCAATGAGGCGAGTACTCAGTGTACCCACTTTACAGGGGAGGCAGCTGAGTCTCAGAAAGGTTGACTGCTTTCCCCAAACAATGCAGCCAGAAGTGAGAGAGGAGTTTAGTCGAGGTCTTTCTGACTCCAGAGCCCATGCCTTGTGTCCCTCTAAGCCACTTACACTGGGATGAGATGAGAGAGAGGTTCAGGTGGGTGTGTTTGGGAATGTGTAGTTGGGCTCGCTCGGTGGGGCCATCTACTGAGCCTGCTCTTGCCCTCTCCCTACATCTCCTAGGAAATGAATATCCAACAGCTCACCAGCTACAGAAAGAGCGTCATGTCCTTGGCCGAGGCGGGGAAGCTGTACCGCAAGGACCTGGAGATTGTGCTCTGCAGCGAGCCCCCCATGTAAAGGGGGGGACAGAGGCTGCTTCTCCATCTCCTCCAAACCTTATCCCTGCTGCCCTGACACTTCTACCCACACCCAGAGATCCTGAGAGCCCCTCCCTCTGCCCCTGCAACCTGCGCACACCTGCCTGCACAGCAGGAAAGGAGAGATGGAGGATGGGCTGCTGGCGGGCCTCTGAGCCCCTCTGCAACCCAGTCCTGCCCAGGAGCACTGCTCTGCCTGCAGTGGGTCACCGCCTGCACGGAAGGTGATGGGGCATGGTGGGGGCTCCCTAACTGTCTTTGCTGTGATGCATGAGCTCATTTGCTGTATGATTTAGGCTTCTGTCTCCAAAACAGTGGATTCTTCCCTCTTGCTCCCCTCTGCCTTTCCTCCACGCCACCACCCACCCCAGACTCCCAACTTCCATCTGCCACCCTGCTGATGGTGTAGCTGTCTCTCAGAGTTCCCGCTTGGGGAGGGCACCCCCCTTTCCCTGCCTTTACTTGTGTCCCTTTCTCTTTGGGTTTCTTGTCCTCTTGTTTACCAAAGAAGAGTTTACAGACAATAAAATGGAAACGTTGTGCTGTGGAAGCTCACCCAGTTCTTGCTGAGTGGTCAACTTCTCTCTGCAGTTAGCAGCAATTCTTGACAGAGGGAGGGCCTTTCCCATGTGGGTACAAGAGAGTGCTGGGACCACCCAACTGCTGTGTAGGACCCCAAGACTCTATGGCTTTTACTTGCCATTCATCGCTATCCCTTCACCACCCTGAGTCACTTCTCTGTTCCATGTTTGTTTCTACATCTCCGAGATTCTAACAGCAGTTACCAGTTCATTGAAAGCTTACTAAGTGCCAATATTGTGCTGAACAGTTGACCTGGAGGATCTCTTAATCCTTTGAGAGAGAGGCACTGTGATTGTTTCCATTGTACAGACCAGGAAACTGAAGATTAAAAAGGTTGAGGAAAGAGCCCCACATCTCATGGCCAGTTGGCGGTGCAGCCTGGGTATGGATCCCACAGATTGGATCCATGTTCTAAACCATTGCCTCCCTTTAGAGTAGGGTTACCAATGGGGCATGGCAATGGTGGGTGATCTCCAGCAAGCAGAAGGGACCCCCTGCCAGGAATTCTAGAACACCACAAACTTAACCTCTCCTCAAAGTGCGAGTTACCCCACAATATCTGATCAGATGCCCCTTGGCATACAATCAGCTTGGTCTTTGGGTCTACAGAGTTCTTTGAGATCCTAGAATAGAGAGATAACTGATTTTAAATGCTATCATTTTTTAAATGCTATCATTTATTGTCTGCAAGATGCATTTTGACAACACTACTTCATTTAATACCATAGAATGAACAAACTAAGGCTCAAAGACTTTATCTTGTTCATGTGCTATAACTCCTAAGTGGCAGAGATAGGACTCAAATATGACTTGTCTGACTCCAAAGTTACCTTCAGAAATGGCCCTTGATTTGATATCCAGGAAACGAACTGGAGCGAGAGACCACCAAGGGTACTGACCACCTGCAGATGTAACCCTAATTTCTTTCCCAGCCATACCGTTTTGTAAGAACCCACCCTGATCTCAGCCTGGATGATACAGCCCAGCAGGCCATCTGACCTCTGTCCACCTGCCCACAGCTGACTGGGCCAAGAAGGGACATCTGCTCCAAGCTGGGCTAATAAGAGTCTCCTAGAATTTGAGGTTGAGACCCAGGGCTGCCAGGAAGAAGATGTGGCATTGAAGAAGGGTGGTAATATGGCTTTGGGACTAGAGGTGGTGCCAGGGCAGTCCAAAGCATGGTTTGGGATGCTGGGAAGAACAGAGACTAAGATCCTGGAAGAGGAAGCCAGGCATGTAATAGTGGGGAAAATGTGGAGAGAGAAACACAGATGGGAAACCACAAACCAGAGAAGAAGAGAAGAAAGGAGGGAGTGCAGGGGAGAGAGAGAAGGAGACAGAAACAGAATGAGGGGATGAGAGGGCAGGGGAACCCTCTGACAGCACCCGGGCTCCTGTGACACTGATGCACTTCCGAAGACTGATTTCCCTGCCATCACTATGTATCCTACAACAAATTCCTGTTTACTTAAGCTAACTTGAGAGCCCATCTCCTGTCCACTAGGCACGGTCCCCATTCCATCCCTGGTTTTCCCTCACACACACACATACACTGCCCCATGCTTCAGATCAAAGCTTCCTCACCCCAAGGCAAGACGGTATGGAGCAGTTGCCCTGGTTTGGGGTCTACTTGCGGGCAGAGCTGGGTCCTTCTGCCTGCTTGCAGCTCTCGGACCCGGGTTTGCTGGAGCCCTTTCTCCTGGGCATGCTTACCCCCCTCAGAGGAGGGGAACTCCTGATCTCAAGATGACATGGTCTTTTTTAACAGCCCATTTATTTCATTCTGAGCCCAGGCATCTGTCCATCGGACAAAGGGAGAAAGGATAGTGGTCCCCGGGCCGCCACCGTGCCATTGTTAGTGACTTCCTCAGACTCTGTCCTGTGTTAAGGAGACCATGCCAAGTGATCAGGGGCTGAGGTGACAGCATGAGGTGGCATTCGATTCATCTTCACCATTTCTCGCTTTCCCACCAACCGCACTCTGTTGCAGCCTAACTCACAGGCGCATTCAGAGCTGGCGAGCAGGCTTAGCCATTCCACGAGCTCCAACACGACCCTTTTGGGGAAAAGTCAGGCCCAGCTTCATTCCTTTGAGTAGCCAGGATCCCAACATTTCCCTTTCCAAATAGAAGCTGGGAACCTGATATGGAGGGTATAGAGCAACCCCACTCAGACACAGTGATGGCTCCCTTGTTACCACTGCCAGTTGTTTCCAGGTCATGTTCTGTATTCACACGCCTCCCTTTTGAGAGCTTCTTGAAAGCCAGGCACAGATCCACAGATCTCTATATCGTGGAGGGGGCCCTTGTCTCTCAGGCCCATGCCAAGAATGGCCCAACCCCTGTGACACAAAGGTTCTAGGCACCTTTCAAGAGGTTACCTTTCTATTGGCTTGAGTTTCTCCAGGCAACTTCATCAGCAGTCCCAGTTTCTAACACAAAGGTCAACAGAAACACTCCATTAGGAGAAAGGCAAGAAGCCAGGGCTTAAACTCTGCTCAGTAAGGGCTGATGAGGACAGTGCTCAGAACCCTCACTCGATAGGCTGGAGTTAGTTGCATCTGCTAGAACCTAAAGATGAGGCGAGCATGTTCCTGGAGTCGGCTGGTCAGATCCACAAGATGCAGGTCACTGGAAGAACTTTAAAGGGCTCAGACCACTGTAGTTCTTTTTCCAAGGAAAGCATTAATAGTATATTAATAATATAACAAATACTTTCTACCATACGTTGCATGGGGAGACAGTGAGAAGACAAAGACATGAAGGATATACCTGTTTGGCACTGAGAGGGCATGGTCCTGACCACTCAGGGAACACAGGATCCCATGAGAAGGACACCGTTGTGTGCTCCAGCAGACCCCCCAGAAACCTCCCTGGCAGTGGTAACGAGGAACTGGCACATGCTCTGGGAACCCTTCTCTGGTTTCTCAGTGTCTGGCTTGGGTGCCACTCCGTAGGCACTTTGTATTTGTTCCACTGTCCTCATTCAGCAACAAGCATTTGTTGAGTGCCTTCGTGGAGCTTATACACTAAGGCAAAAGACAAACAATAAAAACTGATTAAAAATATACATAATGTAAAGTAGCGATAAGTGCTCTAAAGAAAAGGTAAACAAAGGAAAATGGCAGAAAGGAGAGGAGATGCTGTTTTAGGTTCTCTGAAAGGGTGATATTCAAGCAGAGACCTGAATAAAGTGAGGGAGTGCAGCCCGCTGCGGTCTAGGAGAAGAGGAGCCACAGGGTGGAAACAGCAAGTGCAAAGGCCCTGGGGCAGAAGAGTTCTTGGTGTGCTCAGAACGAAGGGCACTGGGGCTGGGGCTGGAGCAGAACGAGGGAAGGGAGTGAGCAGTAGATGAGGTTGGGGAAGTAGGGGAGGCCAGGTGCTGTGCTTCCTTGGATGCCATGATAAAAAGAACTCTGGATTTCATTGTGTCAAGGGAAGCCTCTGAGTGGGCGACATCAACAAGGTGATGTGATTTATTTTAAGGGTCACTCTGGCTTCTATGTGGACACTAAACAATAGGAGGCAAAAGAGAAAGCAGAAGTCCAACTAGGAGGCTGCTGCTCTAGTGCAGTTGAAAAAGGCTGATATGATAGTTGGGCCAACGAGGTGGGGGGGCAGGGGGTGGTACTTTGGATCTAGGAGATTCTGGATCTATTTCTAAGACTAAATCAAAAGGGCTTGCTAGGGTTTGGACAAGTGATGTGGGAGCAAGACAGGCATCCAGAATGACTCCAAGGCTGTTGCTTGAGCAACTGGGTGCCTAGAGGGGGTCAATCACTGAGATGGGAAGCCTGGGAGAGGGTGGTGGGAGTTAGGATTTGGGACACACTGCCTGGTGTCTCTGCTGGGATACCAACAGATAACAGGTGCCACATTCAGATTAGATCATTGGAGGGGGGTTGTCTACAGGGCTATTTACCAAGGTGTGGGTGGGGCCCAGGAGAACCACAAAAGATGGCACAGTAACCAGGGGCTGGCACCAGCCTGTGAGCCGAGGACCCGTGAGCAGCCCTTCAAGGCTGTCACCAGAGGAGGGCTATTCCCACACGTGGGACAGAGGAAGGGGCTACCTCTAGCGGTAAGGGAGGGTCAGGGGAAGTTGGGAATTCAAATTTCTTTGGCTTATCCACAATTGCTGAAACGTTCCGACCCCATGTCTCAGGCCCCCACACAGCCCTTGTCATCCCCCTGGCCTGGTCCCCAGCCATATCTGCACTTGCCCAAAGTCAAGAAGATGAGAGACTCCTTCTCCAAAGCCACCCTAGAGGTCTTGCAGTTCTTCCCGTGTGCTCTTAATGATATGTTTGTAGTTTTTAAATTCTCCTTTTCCCTATGTGTGCTCTCTAGGGCCATAAGAAGAATCCAGGTGACTCCAAAATCTTTAAATTCTCTTTTGTTGCCATAGAAACTAAGTGCGACAACCATGCAAAATCCCAGTGCTTTACCCTCTACCTGCCAATCATCTCTGTCACTACCTGTGATAATTTGAGGATCTGTGGTGCCAGCGCCTGCTGTGGAGGATCCGTGTCCCATTTCCTTCTGACAGGGAGGAAATCGCTGTCCGTCATGAATAATTGATCAGCCCAATCCCAGAATGTCCAGGCTCTGTCTCCTAGGGCCATCTCCAGTACCAGTCACTAACAGTCCAGGTCCCGATAGAAAACAGATGGCACCTTCAAATTAGAGCATTCAAGGAGGACTTGTTTACAAAGGTCTTCTACAAACATGGGGGTCAGATAAAGGGGTGCATAAGGGATGGTGAATAACCAGGAACTAGTAACAGTGCAGTTGCTCTTACCACCCCTAGGCCCAAAGGAATGAGGGGAGTAAGAGGCAACCAGAACCTACAAGGAAAGAGCTGTGCAGAGAACGTCCCATATTTGGTTCAAGCACACAGCCAACCGCAGGTTACCTCTTGTGGGGGTAAATACACTCACCCGCCTCCCTGCTTCCCTCCCATCTCCTTTCAGGGTTC